GCAAGTAAACATAAATGTGTTCGTTTTAAATTATCTTGAATACAAGACAAATCCAAATGATTTTTATTTTACGAACAGATGCAGCAAACCTTTTTCTCCGGAAGGAAACGAGTAAAGAGTTTATTCAGAAATTATCAAACAATTCGTATAGGGTCACTAGGATTTATCTCAATATGGTACATGCAGCAGAAACTAGAAAAGGCTTTCACTGATCATGACTGGAACTAATTTAACGGGATCCGAACATCCCCTTAATTCAGCTCATCTGGATCAATTTTAAGCTATCGATGCACTCCCGGCCCACTTTAATTTTTAAGTTAGTTTTAATTTTGAGCTCTTTACTTTCTGAAGTGTATAATCGGAGTTTAGTTCTTAAACTTCAACTTTGGATATTTTATCCCTTAAAATATGTAACCGATTGTCAAAACTAGCTAACATAATAGTAGGCAAGTGATGCTCAAAGTTTAATAATCAAAGTGGGATGGATTTTATACTTTAAGAATTAATGTGTCACCTATAAAGTAAGAGTGCATCTATAATTAATGATAGTGAAATTTTATCCTACACTAGTTGGAAGCACAAAATAAAGTAAATATTCTAGAGTATAGGAAGAAATGGAATGCAAAAATGACTAAAAACGTCTTTTGCCAAATGAAGAGAAATGAAAGAAAAGTTACCTTGTCCATAAAACTTTCAAGAAGAAAACTGTAATACTCATAAATTCAAATTAATTTCTCTCTGCAAATGTCCCAAACAATTTAAGTAGATTAACTCTGATCGGAATAATTCAAAGTCAAATTATATTTATCTCGCAATTTAAGCTCTCTCTCTCTCGGCTAAACTAACAAACGAGGCCCAAAACGATAAAACTTCTTTGGAAAAATGGACCTTGTACTCTTAAACCCGACTTAAAACCCGATCCGAAGAGGTGTTTGGATCACCAGTTCAATCGCAGGTTGCACAACAGTTATATTATAAAATATAATAATATATTTTAAATTATAAAAATAATCAATATTTTAAATCGGTGATCCAACCGCTGAATCGTTGATCAGATGAATCTATTGCTTAACTCACCTAATTAGTGATCAATTCGATCCTACCGGATAAATCGGGTTGGCCGACTCGACCGGGAGGGACTTTATAAGTATGCTTGTACCGACTTCTTTGGCGCTCGCAATCGGTGCAGACAAAAAGGGCGATTGTCAAATTGACGACCATTTCAAACAAACTCTGTTTGGACTTCAGTGTAAACTGTAAAGAAACTCAAAGTCTGTCCGCGTTAAATTTAATGCACCGTTACTTCTCACCCATAAAAGTTACTAATTGCTTGATTGATTGACTCCCAGAACCAATTGCTGCACACCTATTAATTGTTTGCCAAGCCTTTCAAGTCTGACCTTAAAATATGTGTATAAATAACACACTCGATGCTCCTAGAATTTCATCACTCAATAGCTAAAAGGAGTCCACCACCTTTTAGTACTAGCCCCTTTTTTTTTTAGCTACAAAATTCTTTCAACTCCCTTTTGTTTTATTCTAAAATATGTTGCAAATGGGGGCCGAGTTCAAGAAATTCTTGGTGGGGTTTGTTGTGATGGTGGTGGTGGCGGTGCCGAACGGGGTTTTAGCACAGCCCCAGGTTCCATGTTACTTTATTTTTGGAGATTCCCTGGTGGACAATGGTAACAACAACAATATCAATTCTTTGGCTAAAGCTAATTACTTGCCCTATGGAATCGATTTTCCTGGTGGACCAACTGGAAGGTTTTGTAATGGAAAAACTACCGTTGATGTTATAAGTGAGTTTTGAACCCCCTCTCTATTACTTTCTCACTAATTTGTTGCTTGATTGGTCGTATATATCTATACTTTCTCTTTATTTAAAAGGTACTAATATTTATCAGCTTCCTAATTCTGAAATTAGGTCAACTTCATATTGACAATATTAAAAATAAGATTACCATGAATATGCAGTCATAACATATATATTCGAAGAATTAGCAAATATCCGTAGAACTTGTCACATCTAATGATGAGCTGCTTTTGTGCATATTCTCTTGACTATCATTTTCATGCGGTTAATGACTACATGTTCTTCATTGTTTACTAATTGCATGTCAAAGAAAGTATTCGCTTTATGGTCTCACGTAATACTATATTTTACTACGTATATTTTCCGCATTGGCAAGAACGCTTTCGAGATACTGCAATATCTGGCTAGCAAGTAAAGTTTGGAAACATACTGCATATAGAGTGATGTTGGGTAATTCTCGTAGCAGTATAAAGGTTTTTTTTTTTTTCAATATCGATTTTGTATACTAGTTAATTTTTTTTTTAGTTCCGTCACTCACACACACACACACACATTACACCCAATTTTTATTTATTTATTTTATCATATAGTTTAATAAATGAAAGTTATATGATTAAAATGATAGTGAGAGTGTGATTAACAAAAAATAGGAATGCAAATAACATTTTTTTTATATACACACACATGTATTAATCTACACACACGTATATTTTAATTTATGTGTTATTTTCATTTTGATTATTCCTAATCAATGTGTTTGCTTCATCATCAGCTGAGCTACTGGGATTCAATGGATATATTCAACCCTTCACAAGAGCCCAGGGCCAAGACATACTCAAAGGAGTAAATTATGCTTCAGCTGCTGCTGGAATTAGAGAAGAAACTGGCCAGCAATTGGTAATACTACAAAAGATTACTTTGTTTTTGACAACTACATTATATTTTTTTTTGGTCTACATGCATATGAAGGTGCTGATGAATTCTCTCACATAGGGTGCCAGAACTAGTTTTACTGGGCAGGTGAATAATTACAACAGCACAGTTTCTCAAATTGTGAGCTTACTTGGAGACCAAAACCGTGCTGCAGCTTACCTTAGCAAATGCATATATTCAGTTGGACTTGGCAGCAATGACTATCTTAACAATTATTTCATGCCTCTATTCTACTCAAGCAGCAGACAATTCACACCTGAGCAATTTGCTAATGCTCTTATTGGCCAGTATTCTCAACAAATAAGGGTGAGACACTCATATTTTTCCATGACTAAAATTTTTAATTATCCCATTCATATATCATATCATGTGATGAGATAGAGAAAAAATTTGCTGATGCATGCTTGGGTAGAGAATTTAAGTAACTCTATGTTTATACGGAGATAAATGAAGAAGGGGAAAAAAAAAAAAAAGGCAAGAGGACAGAAAGAAATGAAAAGGCAAAGAAATGAAAAGGCAAATGTACATTATGTCATGCTTAGAGATGTAATTGCACTCTTCTAGTCTCCTTCGACTTCTGATCATCATGCTGTAGCAAAAGCTACTATGCGTGACGGCATGAGGAATTAATTTCTTGGACAATTTCACGCACAATTTGTTTCAGAAGTCTCTGCCTCTTTGAACAAAAGCTAGTTGTATTTATTGCTTAGGCGTATTCTAAGGGTGTTTTTTCCAATGTTGTACCAGTCGACCGACCTCCCTTTTGACTTGGGCAGAAGGACAATAGTTTAGGTGATATTAATTATGAGCTGGAAATGAGGAACTGTGAACAAATCTTTTAAAGCACTATGAAGAATAACAAACAGAAAAATAGAATCAAATAAAATAACTTAAACGCAGTCTGCTTAGCCACCTGTTTGTTTTAATTTACTAAAAAGGGAAAATAAATGATCGAGAAGCAGTTCTAACTTTTAAAAGTTCTTGTTGGTTTTTCCTTTATCGATCTTTTCTTTCATTTAATTACTCTTTCATGTATTTCCTTCTTCTTTTTTTTTCCTCTTAAAGTTCTTTACAAGCCCTATTCATATTTCATAGAATAGAACTGTTCCTTTAATTTTTTTTTCTTTCTAAAGTTCTAAGTTTGACATTTTGATGTTTATGATTGTCGATAGAGATTGTATAACCTTGGAGCAAGGAAGCTTGTTTTGATCGGAGTGGGTCAAATTGGATGCAGTCCAAATGAATTAGCCCAAAATAGCCCTGATGGCAGAACTTGTGTGGCCAGAATCAACTCGGCAAATCAGATGTTCAATAGCAAACTTAAGTCTTTAGTGGACACCTTGAACAATCAATTCACTGATGCAAGATTTATCTACATTGATGCTTATGGGATTTTCCAGGATTTAATCAGCAGTCCCTCTGCTTTTGGTAACTTCCATGCCATTTCTCCTAGAAATTTATTTGCACATTTATTGTTTGAGTTGATGCAATTTTTTACTTCACAAATAAAAATTTTAAAAAATTCAAAATGTTATGTTAACTACGAAAATTCAACTCTTGGAGGGGGTTGGAAAATGCATCTGGCTGGCTTCGAATTATATTTAATTTTCTGCGCAGGTTTCACTGTGACAAATAGAGGTTGCTGTGGAGTTGGGAGAAACAATGGCCAGATAACATGTCTTCCTTTTCAAACTCCATGTCCTAACAGAAATCAGCATCTATTTTGGGATGCATTTCATCCAACTGAAGCTGCAAATATCATAGTTGGGAGAAGATCATACAGGGCTCAAAAGTCATCAGATGCATATCCAATTGACATAAGTCGCTTAGCTCAACTTTGAACATGGAGAATTTTCATCAAATGAAGAGTCTTGCAGGGTCTACCTGCTTAATAACTATTTACATTTTGCTGTTTTTACTGTTGAGTTGTTGTTGAGTGTCTGAGTAACTGCAAAACGTGATGTACCAAAGACTTGTTCAGAAGTTGTACTTCTTTTTCTTGTTTAATGTTAAATTACTAAGTTAAACTACCACCGCTTTCACTTTTTACAGCAATGAATAATTATCATGTTTTATGCTTTGTGTACGTATGAATGCATAATTTTGTTCCAATTACAATCCCCTTACTCTTTCTAACCTTATTCATCAATTTGTTATTGATTTGCACTGTATCCCTATTCTGTTAGTCTTGTTAATAATATTATCGATTGAATTTAAATGGAACAAATTTGAAGGTCTTAAGAGCAGAAAGTGTCTAAAAGTGAAATTTAATATGATAATAAACCAAGTCAACCCAAGATTCATATCAGACATTCATCAAATCCATGACTCCCTTAATCTTTTGGATATTTTTTCTCCCTTAATCTTTTGGATATTTTTTGTGAACTTATGAACTTTATATTATCTGAATACTTTGATGTGGGTAGCCATTCAACCAAATAATATACAAATTTGTAACCCCCAAAAAAATCAGTCTGTACATTTATTTTAGGTGACCTGGTCAGGGTATGCAAAGAAATAATCTTCTGCCACTGCATCACATTCCTGCAAGGACAGTTGTAGAGATGGAAAAGATTTTAAACAAGGAACTTCTTAAGCTGACGGGATTTTAATATACGCGCAAGTTAAAAACTGAATTACACTCGTTCACTGCAAGTATATAGGTCAACTAGTAGTTTAGGATATATATCGGGTCGATCCCATGAGAAAGAGTGAACAATTACCTGTATTAATAAAGCTTCTCTATTATTTAGACTATTAACGAATTATAACAAATTTAACCTACTGAAATTATACAAAATAACAAATAAAAGCTCCTTAGATTGTGGTATCCCCAACTACTCATGCAAGTGCTATATTTGGATCATTGAGTATTATATCTAGGCTAGTTATGGTGTAATTTCCTTATGCATTTGAATCTTACTTTCGTAGTGAATCAATTATACTTATAACTAATCCATACCTATTCTCGTGGTTATGAAATTAGTTACAAGTTCATTTCTTTAGTGAAATTACATGAAATGAATCACTAAAAACCACATAGGTGCACCTCTACTTTCGTTAGTGTACTCCCTATGTTTAGCACTTCTTGAACTAGTAGTATTAAATCTTAATTTTCATTGCAGAAACAACACCTTAGATAATCACAATTAATGGGACCAAATTAATCATGATTTAAAGAGTCAAAGTGCTAAATAACTTGCTCAAAGCATAGCAATCAAATAATCAAATAATAAACACTAACAATTATAGAAAGTTCAACCAAACCCAAGGCATAAACTTTAGAGACACATATTAAACACAAAATCCAGAATTTGCATATTAACTAAACTTGGAATCAAGTACAAAAAATAAAGAGTTGGAGAAGAGATAACCCATGTCACTTGAGCTTCAACTCCTCCTTCTTCATTTCCATCTTCATCCTAGTCTAGCCAATATACAAGAATGGATGAACTATACTAATCTATATTAAAACTAATCTAACACTCAAAAGATGTAAGAGTTACATCTCTGCACTCTCCAAGTTCTCCCGTATGTCTCTCTATTCTTCTTTCAATCTTGCAAGTTTTGGCTATATAAAGATGAAAGAAATCAAGAAAATGAGGCCTACACCACCCTTTTACAGCTGCAAAGTAGTTCTCACATGTCTGGCATTGCATGTGACTTGTTGGAGGTGAAAATAAGTTTTCCGCGTAAAGAGCAGCCTTCTCTGACCACAATCCGGCCAGAAATCCGGCTAAGTTCCGACCGGATTGCTACAGTGACATTTTGGTACACTTTTGTTCAATTTCCAGCTCTGCTCCGATTTTGCGTCAACTTCAACTGAACTTTTCTTGATGATAAAAGATGATTTAGCTCTTGACCAAAACATAAAACTTGTAGCCCTTTGAGTTATCTTTCCAATGCATCAAGAATCACCATATTTGGATCTGTGTAGGTTGAGAAATGACCAAAATATCCTTGACTGCTCACTTCTCTGTTTCAGCTTCGACCAATAGAAATTAGCTATTGTAATTCGGCTTTTTGACCTGGAAAACCTTCAAACTGGATTCAGATGTCTTCAACAAAGTTGTAGATCTATCTCTTATCTTCAAATTGGTTTAAGAATCATCTCAATCCGATCATTGTAGCTCAAGTTATAGCCGAAATATGAAAATGTGTCAAAACTGTCAAAATGCATAAAATCCAAGTAAAAAGTGATAAAAACCTTATTTAACCACTTAAAAGCATTTTTCACCAATTATAGCCAAAATGATTCATTTTTTTCCAGTAATATAACCAAAGTGACTAAAAATAATATAAAATATCATACAATTATTACGTAAATTATTCACTTATCATAAGCTAAAGAAATGATTGCCAACATAAATCAATTAAAGAAGGAAACTAATAGTGATTTAATGGTGCTTTGGAAATAGGTTAAATGCTAAATTGCGCGAAGGGTTATTGTATGCTAAATTGGTAAATTGCTTTGCAGCTGTTTAGACGTTGACGTTCTTTAGACAAAAATCCTGAGATGAAATCGTTTACCATTTCATACCGAACAAAACTAGAGTAGGACAACAGTACATGAAAAGTCTTGCTATAATTGCCGGACATTACCCGCAACTTTACTCGCATCTCGTCCATAAAATGATCATTGCCTCCCGAACCATCAACTCTTATCTTCAATTGTGTGGTTGTATATATTACTGGCTTCATCAGCCATACCACATTAACCTAAGAGTCTATTACATATTTGTTTTTTTTTTTTTGGGGGTTCACATTTTGGTGGAATATTCCTCCTAGATGCTGGAATGGGGTCTGAATTATAGAGAGTGGTGTATTAGCTAAAGGAAGGAAGTCTATGTTTGAATTAAGGAGGAAAGTGGCTATTGGAGGAAATTCATATATAATATTTTCTTCTGAAGTGATCATGGTAAGTTTATGTTGGAGTTCCAAAGTAATGAAACTGGACACGTCTCATGAGTCAACTAGACATTAGACTAAGTTAACTGGGCAAGTTCATTTCCCGGTCCATCAAATTGAACAATTTTTAGGTTCATGAGTAAAATTAGTTATCCTACCTTATTTTTAGAGAAAAAAAAAGAGTTTTTAATATATAGATAAGGGTTTAAGACCTATCAATTTAACCTTTTGCATCGGCATTAGGCTCCCAAATATTTTATGCCTCTATGATGGGCTCTCTTTGATTTTTTTTTTTTTTTCTCAACCAATGGTATCAAAGTTTTCGAGTTATGGAAAAGGGATAGATTGAATAGTACAGAAGAAGAAGAGAGTGTAAGTGAGAGATTCTAAATTTGAGATCTTTCATTTTACACTTTATAAAAAGGTTTCGAGTTTGAGTCTAGGCTACATATTTGCAAGTTGTTTCTTCTCAATAATAGATCAGTAAATTGCTATCTTTTTGTCGGACGGATAGATTGTTATCGTCTTATGTTGGGCCATGCAGCCAGTAATATGTTAAGTCTAGTTGGTGTATATATCTTGGAACTAGGGGTTTGACGGGGATTCTATTAACGTGTTGAAGAAAATAGGGTCCACGATTTAGCTCCAAATAGTTGAATTAGTCTTGAGTATTGCGGTGGACTAGGGAAGCAACTTGGGTGTAATATGAGCATTCATATATTGGACCTCTTTATTTGGTTCTCAGGGTTTTCTCCCCAACAGTACAGTAGTTTACAAAACCCATATTCAAGTTTCTCATATCATAGCTTCAATCTAACTAGTCATACAATGCTTATTCAAATTGCTCCTTGTACCATAATTAAAATAAACAAGTACAAGATGAAAGTTAAATAAAAAAAAATATAGCAGTAAGAATGAATACTACTCTATATGTGTTTATTTGAGACTTGATGATTTCTCTGGTTCAAGAACATGATAAATGGAAATGGGACATTATATATCTAGCTGGGAGACAAAATTGTCCGTTAATGACAACGGTCCTTTTGTACCCTTTTTTCCTGTGCACCTCCTGTTTCACATGTGAAGAGTTCTGAGAGTAGGCCAACCCATATGAGTTGTTACTCTCGTAATGAGATGGCTCTGCCACTTCAAGTAAAAACAACTGAGTAATTTGTTTGGTAGTTTGGGCAGATTTGTGGTTGGAGATTGGCTGAAAGTACAGGGAAAATTCTAAGTGGATAATGATTTTTTTTTTCTACATGTCAAGACTTGTACAATTGCCATTTTGATGGCTTCATGGTTATCGTTCCTGGCATCTCCCATTGCTCGTTGAATTTGAGCTACTGTCATGTCTGCCATAGAGTTCGGAATATGGGGTATATAGCCCTATAAACCGTGTAAAATGGATACACGACAAGGAAAAAGGTTAGTAAGTTTTCTATGTGGATCCCTCAAAAAAAAAAAAAACAAAGTTTTCTATGTCGAAATTCTCCGCCTAACAAACTCCCTACTATATTCTGGTGAGATAAATTATATGAGGCTTCAGCCCATGACATTATTGGGTGTACTCGGTGCATAAAATTAAAATTCACTTTATATGTGATGCATTAGCCAAGGACATTGGTTTACACTTTAAGAGGTGTCCTTTTGGGATTGGCATGTTTCGAAGACCTAATAATGGATTGATGAAGGTAATCGGGTGATTGAAAATGATTATACATGCAATTGTGAGTTTTACTGTTACAAGAAAGGCAGTTGTCAGCTGTGAATTTTATAAAAAGCTAATTAATTAGAATGAGCAAAAGTTACTGTTATTTAAGTTCAGGACTTCCAACATTTTTTTCACCATTAAAAAAAATCTAAATCTATGCACAAACGTAAGAGAACGAATGTCAAAAAACATGAATTATGTAACATCAGAATTTGAAGTCAAGTGAAATACTCAGTCCGAGAACAGCCCCCCCCCCCAAAAAAAATTGCTAGTATGTTTTTGAAAATTTTTAAACACGTTACCCAATTATCACTCCATGTCACGTATATATTCATTGAAAAGTGCATTACAATTATATTCTCTAAAAGCACCCTAGAAAGCGATCATCCAATTTGGGCTTTTAACTTTTCCTCAATTATGACTAGGGTAAGGAACACAGGAGAGTTTTCAAGATTCTTATTTCATTCACTGAAATATATATTTTTCAGGTCAAATAGCACATTGAACTTTAAGTGCTTCATACTGTCCATTCAATTAGCTTTTGCTGTTAAGATAGACGACAATTAACGCCTCTGAATGGACAATTTGAATGTTTTGCATGAAGCCCACCTACTTATTTGCTGGTATATGGTTTTTGCTTTATGTTTAGTTAGTAGCTACGTCCAAAAGAGTGTAATACTTCTTAAAACTGAAACCCATGAAATTTTCAATGTTAAAATCATTAGTACAAAAATTAATCACTAAGATCAAGGTTTTTTTTTCAGTGTCATTGGTTTAAAGAAACGCCAATAATCAAAGGATTGCATTGAAAAGAAAACCCTCAAATCTTGACAGCCAGACCAAAGGAGAGCACCACAAATTTTAAAGAGTTTCCTTCTAAAGATTCCCAATAGAAAAAAGAAACAAAATTTATGTAAGTTGCCCCAACCTCACTTGTATGTACAGGAGACTAAAAAAAAAAAAAAAATTCAAGACTACAAAAGAAACTATTAAGGCTTGGAGAGAATGATTGAGTTAGATTCCAAGAGAAAATAGATAAACAAGAAATGGGTCATCGAATGGGGAGCTGAAAGTTTAATGGCTAGTTTGGGAGAGAATAGAAAAGAAGCGAAAGCTTAAGTTAGAAAAGAGAAGAAGAGATTGTAATATTTCTTCATGTTATTTGGGAGTTTTTGCAAAGAAAGATAATGAAGTGAGTATCTTTTATTTGGGAGTGAAGAGAAGTAAAAGGAAAAGATTCTATTTTACATTAGTACCCTTGAAACTTGAAATTCACCTAATATAGGAAAATGTTATGTTATAATCTTTATAAAGGCAAAATCGATATATTAAAATATTTATTTAATTCACTTTCCTTTTTTTTTTTTTGTCAATAGGTCATCAAATTTAATTCACTTTCCTTTCTCATGCTTTTCGCCTAATTTTGGGCTGAGGGTTTTTGTAACTTGAAAGGACGTGAGATCCTTCCTTTTCTTTCTATTTCCTTGCTATTAAAACTCCCAAATGCTAAATGATTTTACTTTCTTTCTTAGTTCTTTCTTTTCTCACCAAATCCGTCCTCCCAAACGAGCTAGAGTCGGATGGTTTCAGGCAAAATGTCCAAATTATCTATTTAAAGCAGGCCGGCCTGTCAAATGGACTAACTTCTATCCATTTTAGCAGTTAGAGTTAACGGAGTGATCAAGATGAAGAACATTTAGAAATTCGGTGGGATATTCGATACGAAAAATAATTTTGTAGGCGAAATGAAAATTTTGAAATGTTTGATGACCCACACACACTTTACCCTTATAACTATTAATATTAATAATATGTTCCGTAACTTAAGACAAAATTGACTATGAGTCTTATTAATAACTGGTAAACGGCTATCACGCATCAACCACTACATTGCTTAAAAAAACAAGGCATCTACCTCTTCATCATGGAATGCTTATTCCTTTCCATATGTAATATGTTCTGAATTGTGGTGTGGTGCCAATAATTTATAATTGGAATTATATTGAGCATTCGAGCATAAAACATATCCAACTAGAAACTTAAAATATCTTTGTAAACTCCATATGAATTAGATATTTTTAGGGTTCTTTTTCAAAAAATTTACTGTAGCAATATATGTAAAAAAAATTTGTTGTAGATTATTCATTTGAATTCTGTGTTTTGAGGTATTTTTAGAATTTAAAAATTTTTAAATATTTTTTATAAATTTGTTTTAAAATAGTCCATTACCCTCCCCTACTCCTTCCTCTACTGTTGTCACTATCCCCTTCCCCTCCTCTCTCTTCCATCCTCGCCCTTCCTCTTTCTTTCCTTCTCTCACCTCTCGTTGACCCCCCTTCCTATTTCTTCCTCTTTTGGTGGCAACCGGATCTCTCGTGACATTTTGGTTGCAACCAAAAGGGAAATAAGAGGGGGGAAAGGCTTGGCTGGGGCCAGCAGTGGAAGGGAGAGGAGAGGGAAGGGGAGGAAAAGAAAAATGGAGGAGAAGGAAGAGGCAGAGGAGGAGGGACGAGGACATGGATAATGGTAGGTAATGGTATGTCATGGGTAGTGAATAGAAGAAAAATGGATGATAGGATTTGTTACATTTGTTATTTAATTTTTTTAGTTTAATTTTTATTTTTATAAGTTGTATTTGAAATTATGTGTTTTTAGAGTTATTTTTGAAGTTTGTTACCATAAATTTCACAAACAAAAATAATTTGTCAAAAAAAAAAACACTCAATCCAAATAAAGTAGGTTACAGAGTAATATTGAAGGCGTTGTACTTTTTTTATATTTTTTTGCTACAACCATTTTATAACATAATCTATCATATTCTACAAAAAGAAGAGTCTAAAGAGGACAGTGTACATATTTTTGATAATATTTTTATAATATAATATATCCTATTTTATAGAGAAGAGAGTTTAGAGAGGACGGTGTACATATTTTTTTATAATATATTTATAATCTAATCTATTCTATATTTTGCAAGGAAGGGAAGTTTAAAGAGATTATATAAGCAATTAACAGGTATGCAAATCTAACTAAATTAAAGAGGTGCTCTAACACCTTTTTAAAAAAAATTTTTACTACATATGGAATTTTGAATTCCTGCTGCATCCAACTCCGGAAACTTGTTTAAGATGAGAAGGCCATTCCATTGCAGTGCTTTCGCATGCAGTACTGCATTGGACATTGATGTGATGTGCAAAACCGTCACCCCCCACTTTTCAGTAATCCTTGTCGGATTTACCAAAGGACAATAAAAATTCAACTGGCTCCAGTATAAAGTTAAAGCATAGGCCAATTAAATATTAAAAATCCAGCTGGTAACTACTTTCTGCATTATTGTGGGCTGTAGTGCATAAATAATGGCTGGCAGAATCAGGGCGGAACCATGTCCAATCGAGGGCGGGTAATTGCTACCCCAGGCCCCAACTCTTTTTTTTTTTTTTTTTTCTATTGAAAATTTCTTAAAGTCGGTATAAATTAAGTGTTATTTGAAAATAAATGAAAAATCTTCAAACTTTTGATATGTAAAAATAAATAACCGATCTTCAATTATGATCTATAGTTGTACAGTACACAAAAATAGTACTATCATTTGGTTCAACGTCATGATTATCTCTGAAACACGAGTGTGTTTGGATTGTAAGTTATTTGAAATATTTTTACTATAGCACTTTTTGTGATGTGATGTATGTGAGATAAAAAGGTAATTGAGAAGATAAAAAAGTGTATTGAAAATTGTGATGGTGATGTCAGCAAATATATTTGGCCAAATAATTGGCTGTCCAAACACACTATTATTACAAATTGTGTATTTAATGATAGTATGTAGTATGTACACTGAAAAAGTTTTCTTCATGCACAAACAAAATGACCAGAAAAATACTTTTTACAGTCACGTACAAAATTCAGTTGTCTAAGAAATGACGAGTTCCAATTCACTCCACAGAATCGACCAATTACAGTAGTGCTTCCGCCTTGTATAAAATATTGGCTCCCGCTCTGCATCCTTGGTGCCTCCATATTTGCCTTTTCCTCTGACTTGCTAAACCTACCATTGCCTTTTTCTTCTTGTCAATCTGCATTCATGGCTTTTGCAGCCAGGCGATGGTTTCTCCTATCCATCATTGTAGTGGTTGTCTGTTTCTTGAAACCATTTGCCCTAGGCGAACAACAGGTCCCTTGCTACTTCATTTTTGGAGACTCGCAAGATGACAATGGCAACAATAATCACCTGAACACAACTGCCAGGGCAAATTATCCACCTTACGGCATTGATTTCCCAGAAGGTCCAACCGGTCGCTTCACCAATGGCCGAAATCCTGCAGACTTCATTGGTGACTATCTCTTTCCTATCCTATCCATTATTAGAGGCTGAGGCAGCAGGCGACCAAGAGCTGCACCCCCTAAGTTTTAAAATATTCTTTTAACTCTCTCTCTGTTAAGTTTTGAAGTTTTTGTAAAATGACCTTCTCTTGTGCCCATGCTATTTTGACTAAAATGACATATATCAGAATCACCCCCCTCGCCCTAAAAATCCCCCGATTTTTGCTTTCCGGACTTCTTTAATTTCTATTATTTTTAAGACTCGTAAAGAATTAATTCAATATTCACGAGTCACTGCTGTTATCATAAATTCTTGACTTGGTCACTGTTTCTAGGGTTAATTCCACTTTGTCCCCCCAAGCTTTGGACGATTACCCACTTCAGTCCCTAAACTTCAAAATGGGACACTTAAGTTCCTAAACTTATAAATACTTCCCAATTAAGGAAAATTGTTGACAGAATCCTGAATGCCGTTGGTGGTCGAATTGTCCCATTTTATAAGTTTAGGGATTTAAGTGACTCATTTTATAAGTTTAGGGACTTAAGTGTCCCAATTTATAAGTTTTAGGGACTTAAGTATCCCATTTTAAAGTTTAGGGACTGAAGTGGGTAATCGTCCAAAGTTTGGGGGGACAAAGTGAAATTAACCCCTGTTTCTATATATTATAGAATTTTTTTGTTTATATATTGTCTTTCAGAAAGACTTTTTTTCTTATAGACATTTTCCCATAGGCGGCAAGCTGCTAGTTAGTGCATGCCATCTCGTATGTTATGAGAGCGGGAAACAGTGTAATATTTTTTAAATATTTTATAATTTTATGTAAATTTTTTTATACATCTTTATAATATGGATGTGATATTTTGTTACTATTTATGTAAATTCCATATGTAATAATTATGTCTCTATTATTAAATTTTACAAATAATTTATGTAGACTTATATTTTATTCAAAAAAATATTACATAATTCAATTCAGAACTGTTCTCAACGACAATCATTGGTGCCCTCAGCCCTGTATGTTATACATCAACATCAACAGTTTGGGATTTGGACCCGTTGCAGTTATACGTACAACCGTATGGGCCATTCGACGGCCGATAACAACTCAATAAATTTTAAGTTAACCGTTGAGATCAATTCAAATTTAGTTGGACTGATCTAAACTATTCCCTTCATATCATGATATTGAAAGTGTCGTACTTTCATTCTGTAATGTTCTAAAATAATTGTCGTATATAAAAAAATCAAAATATATTTTAGTGTCTTTTTTAATATAATTCTTTTTTTAATCATATTTATGTTATTATTTAAATTTAAATTTCAAATTTATTGGAATAAAATTAGAAAAAAGAAACACAAAAATCACAATTAAACTATTATTTTTAAAAGTTAAATTTTCTAAATATGACTAAATAAATGAAGGAGCGTCAAATTTGTCAATTGCCCTTGCGGTTGCACAGGATCCAGGTCCAATAATTCGTGGTATGAATTAGAAAGTGTACGTCTCTTTGTGGCAGGTGAGCTCCTTGGATTTGACAGCTACATACCTCCATTTGCAAATACAGAAGGCCGGGATATCACTAAAGGCATTAATTATGCTTCAGGAGCATCTGGAATTCTTGATCAGACAGGTCGTCACCTGGTAAGCAGACAGCTTATTTTCTCAAAAAATAGGTGCTTAGAAGTTGATACCGATGACATACTCCCACAACAAAGGTTGCAAAAGAAAAGAAAAATGCCGAAATAACTTCGACATTCTTAAAGCTTTTGTTTTTTTCTTCTGTTTTAATCACATGATGGTGCATGCATCTACTTTTGCTAATGCAAACTAAATAGTTAGATTTGTACATCCACATGCTAAGAATTGGTTTAGTAGTCCATTGTCTTGTAATTGCAGTTAATTTTGGAAATCCAACTCTTGTCAAATATCAACATCCTCATAAAATCATTAATTGACCCCAATTTTCCAGATTTGTCCCTGTCCATGCTACATAAAAAAAAAAAAAAATCTGAAATGTAATGTTGTGTGCCAAACCTTTTGTGTTACATCCAAAAAGTGAGAAAAGATTGCTGTCTTGTAATGAAGTCTGCACTTTGTAGCACTACAATAACAAGATAAAGTTTTTTTTTTTTTTTTTTTTTTTGGGAAGGAATAACATGATAAAGTTCAATATGCAAAATGATGATGACACTCCATCAAACTTTTCTTGAGAGGTAAACAATGAGGGGGGATCCTAAAATACAGTACGGTACTAATAGATCAATATTGGCCATTCATTTTTTGTGGTGTTCTTCAAGTATCTAAATACACGTTTTACATGATTTTAAATAAAAGAAGAGAAAAAGGAAAACAAGAATGATTGTCCACTGAGCATAGATCGAAGTCTAGGCGCATTCCTGCCGCTTCGAATGCAAAGGGATAGGGCCAAGCTTTGACACTATCCTGACTTTTTGGATGAGGGAACCTGTAGATGCACAGTACAATTAGTAGTTCAAATCAGATAATGCATATGACCTTGCCATTTATTTCAAATTAAAATGTTTTGAAATGAATTGTTCAGATCAAACTGGACTGAACCAATGTGCCACGATTTCGACAATTAAATGTATTCTGCTATTGTAGGTGCGACTGCGTAGATCCTGAATTTTAGGCATACAGAATTATTTTCATTAGTCAATTTTGACGAAGAGCAGGATAGTTATTTGTCATGTTTCGAGCTATGTCCAGTATCTAGGCTGTTTACGGATCGAATTGGAGGATATTGTCATAATCTTATGCACATTCTTCTTTGGTTGGTCCACCAAATACCGATCCTAATGCTGTCTGTGTATTGAATTTAGACACAGGTATCTATAGAATGTCAATTTTAGGAAATTTTCAAATGAAATCTTTTCATATACGTTGGGTCATTGTTGACATAATTTCCACTTTAGAAATAATTTCCTCACAGTTAAACCGCATGGCATGCTAAAGTGGTAAAATTACTTAAGGAAAGAAAAAGGAAAATGAAAATAAAAAGAAAAAGAAAGAAAACAAAGTAACTTGCCAGCTTTAGGCCATCGGTTCTAGAGACAATGCAAAAAGAACCAGCCGGTAGAGAGAATCTGCATGCTCCTGTCTCTGCTATTGACCAATTTTAGTGGGAAATCACTAAGTTCGTTAGTAGTAAATTAGTAAATACTGCACTAGAGTAATCAATAGTTAACTAATTTCTAATGAATATTTAGTAATATGTACATATATAACACACACACACACATATATATATATTGAAAATTCAGCTAGTAATTGGTAATTTGAAAATATATTTTTAATATCCATTCCCAAACTATTTTATCAAATATTATAAATGGATATATTTCGATTTTACCTAGATCCGAAATTCAATCTAAATTGCGTCAACTGGTTTTTCCATTTTTTTTTTTTTGAAGTTTGAACCCTCTACCTATAATGCCAAAACAGATAAATTGCTATTTATAGACAAACGAACAAACATGTGGGTTAAATTTCTATATATAGAGGTATGACAAGATAGTCATGCATTGTGATGTATAATACTTCGACAATTTTGTCCTTAAAAAATGTTTTTATTAAACTATTAACAAAATAATTTGATGTCCAAAAAATGGTGATAATTGGAGATGTAATTGTAGAGATCACTTAAATTAGTTTACTAAACGACATATAGTTTCTTATGATAGTTTATGATATTGAAATATTTTACATAAGAATGTATCAAAAATTGTCTAAACATCAAAAGGAATTTACTAATGAGGACAAACAAGGAAAAACGAAATTGAAAATTTTCTCATGAATAATAATTTTTATTTAATGTTATAGGAATTATTACTAAAATGAATGTTTTCTGACTCAAAAAAAGTATATATTTAATTTACTTTCAAAAAATGCAACACATACATACACATATATAGATATACATATACACACATATATACATGCATGCATGCATACATATATATGCAAATTTGGCACCGAGAATTCAAGATTGGCAAAAGGGTACATGGCCCACGTACCGACATATGTATGTATGTATGTGTGTGTGTGTATATGTAACTATATGTGTGCATGCATAACATGATATTATATACCGGTTAAGTATATACACAACAAAAAAGTATTGTATTTTTAGTGATAGTTCCTTATCACAACAAATGGAAATTAAATATTTATAAAAATTATTTGACATTCAATTTTTGTTTCTTTCTCATTATTCATAATTCCTTTTGATATTCAAATATATATTGGTATTCTCTTCTAAAAAAATTAAATAGTATAATTTATCACAACTAAATTTTTTTAGTAAAAATAATTTATGTAATTTTTTATGGGATAATTTCAGAAACCTCTCTTGAGGTTTCTAACACTTTCACTGACCTCCCTTAAGATTTTAAAAATTATACTAACCTCTCTTGCCAAAAATTTGGACCCATTAATTACTTATATAAAATATAGTGAAAGTACTACTTTGCCCTAAGATGTTATGCATTATTACAAATGGATATATGACAAAAAAAAAGATTAGGGCACTAAATAAATAAGATTAACTAATTAAACCAAAATATGATTATTTCATCTCAAATTAGCAACCATAATTACAATCAAAAAATTGCATCAATTGCTATCTTAAGATGGCACTTTTTTTGTGATTGATATCACTTGACAATAATTGGAATAGACAACCTTATATAATCTGCACAAATAGACCTTATGAGCAAGAGAAATAGAAAATTTTTTTGACTAACTTATTTTGTTGAATCTTGTGGTTAAACAAAACTATTTATACTGTTTATTGTTGATTTGTTGACTAAGACTTGTATGTTTTCTGCATCAATATATTTACTTTTACCTCGTCAACTACAATAAAAAGATTAATTTTTTTGCCCAAATTTAGATGCTTATACCAATAATTTAATGGCATTATAGAGTTAGTTGTGTCTTTTATATATAGTTGCAACTTGCAAATGACAAAAAATATGGCCATTACAATTTGCACTAGCATGTGCAAAAACCATTGTTGCTTCAGGTTATAGTTGCTGCATCTTTTCAAATTTTACATATATTCCTTGATTTTTATTAATTATTTTTTGCTTTACTAATACAACTTGAAGACAATTAGAAAAGGGCATATATGAAAGAAAATTATCATCTCACTCCTCAAAATACTTTTTCAATAGTGCTTTTTTCTGAGTTGGACTGATTTTGTTACCAAAACCTTAAGTTCAAAGGAGGATAGTGTAATTTTTGAAATTTCAAAAGAGGTCAGTGAAAGTGTCAGAAAACTCATGGGAGGTTTCTGAAATTATTTCATTTTTTATATCTACAATTGTATCACCATTTTCTAGAGAGCAGTGTACAATGTTCTTTACTAGTAGAATATAATAACACCACTCTTAAAAATAATAGAACTACCAAAGTATTATGTATTGAGGGCATAAATGTCTTTCACACTTCTCCTGTACCAAAAATCTGGGCCACTCGTCTGGTTGATCGTCTATAGGAAGTAATTTGCTGCTCAACCCACGCTATAGATGGCAATTTATGCATAAGGTTTTATTAGATTGTCATAGCTTGATCTCTTGTTTCTATTAGTGTCCGATTTCTTGTTTGATAAACACATTCAGCTCTTTGAAATTGCTCAATAAAAGGAAGCTAACCCAAAGATATTCTCGTTGCCTAATTATAGATGATAAGTCCTACAGCTTGAATAAAATTTCTTAGAAAATACAAAGAAAGGGAGCTCAGAGGCATAAATTTTAACAAAAAGGAGTAATTGAGAAGGGAAAAAGGATAAGAATTTTATGACAACCTAATGTATGTGCAAGGCAAAAAGTAGATGCAATGGTTTTTGAGCGATCAACACCTTAGGTGTCAGTGCAAGATAAAGCATAAGAATCCCACTTTTAAAGAAAAAATCTAAATATAATGCGGGAAAAAAGAGTATAGGTGCTTTGCTCTTTATTTTATTGTTAATTTTCACATGAAGGAGGTAACATGACCAAAAGCCGCTCTGCATGATGCTTTTTTATTTGCTAATAGGGCGATCTCTTCAGCTTCAACGAACAATTGCACAATCACGAGAGAGTAATTTCGCGCATCGTGCGGTTGATTGGAAACAGATCTGCAACAAAAGAATATCTGGCCAAATGTCTGTACACTGCTGCATTGGGGAATAATGACTACATCAACAACTACTTGTTGCCAGAATATTATCCTACAAGCCACCTATATACTCCAACAGAATTTGCCAGCTTGTTAATTAGGCATTATTCTCAGCAACTACGGGTTGGTTTAGTTATTATTATGTTTATTTTTCTTTAACAAAATTCAGTCTTCGTTCATTATTTTCGTGTTCACCAGGTATATAAATTTAAAAAAAAAAAAAAGAAAAAGAAAATTAACTTGAAACCCTTTTGGTGCTAGACTTTGTACAGATTGGGGGCAAGAAAAATAGCTGTTTTTGGGCTTGGTTTGCTTGGCTGCATACCTGCTGAGTTATCTGCAGATGGTAACTGTGTGGATTCTATTAACGATGAAGTTCTGTTATTCAATGACAAGCTCAAGCCACTGGTTGAAGAACTGAATACCGAGTTAAGCGATGCACAATTTCTTTATGTAGATGTGAGAGCAATCAATTTGAACAATTTATCCACCCCGGCAGGTACGTTGAGCTCCTATTTTACTGGAACATTCTGTTTGATTCACAAAATAGATTCAACCTGAATAAATAATAAATACTGCATTCAAAAAATTATTGTTGAGGAGATCTTAGTTAGTTTATGTTTCTTGTTTTCTTTTTTTTTTTTTTCAACAAATGAAGTCATTGTATCTTTCCTGCTGTCTTACATTCCGCTGTTTTTTTTTTTTTTGCCGGTTCTGTTCTCTCTTTTTAATTCAATCTTACACTTAATCTATTTCAGAAATTACAATTGGCAATGCACCATGCTGCAACGTGTCTGCAACAGTTGCTCGTGGACAGTGTATTCCTGGACAAATTCCCTGCAGCAACAGGAACCAATATTATTTTTGGGATGATTTCCATCCCAGTGAAGTAGTCAATGAAGCATATTCAAGATTAGCATATTCTGCGTTATCCTCATTACTTGATGCTGATCCTCTTGCCATTGGCGGCCTACAGGCAAAACCTGTCATGATAAAGTGAAGATACAATAGACTGTATCTATGTGTCCCATGATATTTCTATATTCCAAGTTTCCAACAAGTCAAACTCGATGTAATAAAACTGGAGAGTCCGAATGTGCTAGTATGACATTATCTCCTCAATGGAAACAATATGTTATCATTAATCTCAGACCATTTATAATTACTATTAGAATTGTGTAAAAGCCCAATGTCTGTGCAGAATCCTCGTTCAAAGTTTATTAAGTGTTCTTATAGTTCTAAAAGACCTTTATGTAATCACATGTTTGATTGAGTGAGGATTCTTTTTTTTTTTTGTCAAAAGGTCGGTAACATTCTATTACTGAACATAAACTTTACATGAAAGATGGGCAACTGCCCTCAATATCTGCTTGCACCAGTGCAGGCAGCCAGTCTGGGAAGATGTCCTTCCATTCAGTTTGTATTGTTAAGCTAATTGCCAATTTGGCAAGTCTATGGCTAACAAAGTTGTTTACTCTTCGAGTAAAGGTAAAACAACATTCGTAAAAATTTTTCCTAAGTTCCCTGATATCATCTAATACTACTGAGCCTATCTCATACGACTGCTCCTTGTTAATTTCCTCCACCACCTGTAGGCAGTCCGATTCAAACATCACCTTCTTCCAACCCTGCTGTTTTGCCAGCAACATGGCAGCTCTTAAAGCCAATGACTCCTCCAGTTTTGGATTAGAACAGCTACGGTTTGGTATTGCCCAAGCTTTCAGAACTTTCCCTTGCCAATCCCTTGCAACCATTCCCCATCCCGCCAGACCTTCCTTCTTTTGTAATGCAGCATCTGTGTTTATCTTGACCCAACCTTCCTGAGGAAGCCTCCACCCCCTTGATCCCTCAGCTTCATGCTTACCACTTCCCTGACTCTCCAATTCCTCTGCTTGAGCATCCTGAAACTCCTTCCATTCCCCCACTGCCTTACTCACTGCTACTAACGGATTCCTTTCCTGACCATTGAACTGTTTCTCATTTCTAGATTTCCAGATTTGCCACAATAAATTGACAGTCAGTATAATACGTTCGGATTCAAACCGTGCCTTTATTAGTCTAAAAGACTTCGCTAGTTTGTTGCATGAGATGACATAGGATTAAATTATTAATATTATGTTATCCCATATTTAGTTAGTTTTATGCAATTAGACTTTTCATTTTACCAAATTAATCCCTCATTCGTAAGATAAAATAATCTTACATTGGAGGTGGTAACAGTTTTCCCAAGATAAATAAGGGGTGGGATTATACCATGGTATACTAGTTTGCCCCTGTGATTGTTCTAACCCTATATACTCTTACAACTATATAACCTACTTTAAAAAAAAAAATTAAAAGAGGTGAGATTTAGAAAACAAAGAGTAGGCGAAAAGGAAATTTGAATTCATAATCTCTACGTCCTGATACTATATATTAAAATCGAACCGGTAATAAAATCTTGGTGGCCCAAGCCCAACCTGCTTCAAGGTCTCTCTCTCACACACACACACACACACATGTATATATTAAGACCCAATGTGAGTCCACTTCATAGTATTGATTCGGAATGAGATTGGACCGATGTATATCTGTGTACAATTATCTTATTAATTTGACAATATGTAATCGGTCAAGCCTTATTTGGACTGACCTAACCTCCCCTGCGATGAATAACATAGGTCTTTGTTTTTGGATCAAAATGTATGTTTTTACCAATGTCTGGACCTTGAATCTCAAAATAATTTTGTTTAAAGTTCAATTTTTTCTCAAGGGGAAATATGAATGTCTTCATTGACGTGCAAAAGACTTTATTATTGGAAATAAACTTTCACTTGTTGACCAAATGTCCCTTCAAATGTATTTGTTTACTTTATTATTGCATAATTAATTCAACTTTCAATATGAAAGTGTTATTATTACGTAAACAACGGTTGAAAATTAATTGAATTTTTTTGGCAAAGTATTGACAAAAACTTAATTCTATTTCCTTAAAAGCCTATTCTTTTAATAAATAAGCTAATTTTTTGTTTATCTTTGAATGCATGCTTTATATTTTTAAAGTATGATATAAAGAAATTGACTCATTTATTAAGTTTATATATTCAAAATATATCTTTTTAGATGTACTAATTAATATTGATGAAGTACTTTATTTATAAATTCTACGCACCTCAAGATAACTAATAATTATGTCACATGTATTTGCAAAGACGGTGAATTACACTGACCTCCCCTCTAGTTTCCTGCAACAGTCAGGGGTCTCTTCTCGTGATTCTGAGACAACATGAGCCTCTCTTATCAATAATGTCTTCCATCAAGTCAACATTTACAATAGTTTTCATTTTACATTTTTACCCTTTATCTTATATTAAACAAAAGAAAATTGTCAAAACAAAGAGCTTTAGTTCTCTAAGAAATGGGGGGAAAAAAGAAGAATAAAGCGATTTTTATGCATTAAAATTTGAAGATTTCCCATATTTAATTTGTTCATTATTTTTATTCTTCCCAGTCAAAATTAATAGATTTGCATGTGTACCTACTTCAAGAATAAATTGGATTCTAATAAAATGAGGTGTCCAAACTGTACATTTATCAAATATATTAACAATTTAAAATTTCAACTTGTATATACATGAATATTACATAAATGATTCAAGACATCAACTTATTTTGTGGCAAAGCTAATATAGAAAAGAAGTATTATGGATTTACTTTTATGGCTATAAATAAAATTATGTGTGATCGGTACTCCACTCTATTTTTCTTAATTTTTTTTTGGAAATAATTACTTGTGTCATTGAAATGGTGGTTTGGGGACTTTGAATTGAGTTTATGACAAAAGTAGTTAACATTTCTCCCCTGATCATAGCTAGGTAGGGAAGCTTTTCTTGTTATTTGGCAGACAAGAGGGGAGGTCCTCTTTGTTCCGAGATCAAGAGTGGAGATCCCTAACTTTTGTAAAAACAAGAGGGGAAGTTAATATAATTTACCCTTATAAATATTTTTTTAGTGATCGACCCACAGATTCAACAATCAATTCATTAGTTGAATCAATCACCGACTCCTTTGCCGGGTCAGGTTTAACAGGCTGCACATGGAGATGGAGTGGCTCCGCCCTCTCCCAAGGTGGACCACCACTACAGCCAACTGCAATAGCTCCTCTGCCTTCTATATTTTGGCAATGACTTTGGTACCTCCGCGTCTGGCTTTTCCTATCACTTGCTTCTTTCCTCATCGGCATTCATGACTTTTGTAACAAAGCAATGGGTTCTCTTGCCCGTCGTAGGAATGGTCATCTTCTTCTTCTTGCAACCATTTGCTCTGGGCAATCCACAGGTCCCTTGTTACTTCATTTTCGGTGACTCACAAGATGACAATGGCAACAACAATGACCTGAACACTACCGCCAAGGCAAATTATCCACCTTACGGCATTGATTTCCCGGAAGGTCCAACTGGTCGCTTCACCAATGGGCGAAACCATGCGGACTTCATAGGTAACCATCTCTTTCTTTTTCAATATCCAGCACAAAACTTCTTTTTTTTTTTTTTTTTTTTAAATTGTATTATTTCTTTCAAAAAGTTTTTTGATTCGTATGGACTCTTTTATGAATTGAAGACTATATTCCACTTTGGACTCCTAAAAGCATTTCAAGCTGAGTTTTTAATTTTTATTCTTGGACACTTTTAACTCTTAAAATATGAAAGCATCAACTTTATAGTTCTTAAACTTCAACTTCGAACATTACTCTTAAAATATGAAATCTATCTCGTAAAGAGATGCTTGAAGTTTAAGGACTGAAAAAAAAGAGAGATGAATTTCGTAAACAAGCTAGGGCTTGCCACTTAGATATGTGCTACTTAATGATAGAAAGAAAGTATACGTCTGTTTCTGGCAGCTGAGCTCCTTGGATTTGCCGGCTACATGCCTCCATTTGCAAATATCAAAGGCCAGGACATCACTGAAGGCGTTAACTATGCATCAGCAGCATCCGGAATTCTTGACCAGACAGGTCGCCAGCTGGTAATTATACATTTTTGTTTTGAAAAATAAAAAGTTTTGAAATTTCAGATCAATGTTACTATATTCTCTCATTACTCTGGTTAGAATACACTTACAAAATGAAAACAAAATTGCCTAAATCACTTCAGCCATTTTAAACCTTTTTTTTAAAAAAAAAAAAAAAATCACATGATACTGTATATGTATCTCAATGCAAAGTAAATAGTTTATATTTTGTTCATCGATCCACATGCTAAGAACTGATTTAACGGCCCTTTGTTTTGCAATTGCAGTATATTCAAGAAATCCAATTCTGTTCAATTTCAAGACTAACATAAACTCTCTCTCCAATTGTCTCTATTTTTCAATTTTGCTCTTGTCCATGTTTCTTTTTCTGCCATTTTCTTGTCCATGCTCTTGTCCATGTTTCTTGAAAGGCGTTTTTGCTGGGTTGGAATGTGACGCATTGTAGTACCAGACCTTTTATATGACGTTCAAAAACGAGAACATGTCACTGCCTAATAAGTCAGGTGCCATTAATGTGCCCACCGAAAATTTTTTTATGACACCGAAAATGTATAGTACCTTGTACAGTACTATGACATGAGGATGTCCATGAATGCCAAGTTTATTATTTGTGGTCTTCTTCAATTACCTATACACACATTGTACATGGTTCTATTATGTGTTACACTCAGTAGATCTCGAGTTAAACATAATTTAACTAAATCAGAAGATGCATTAACATTTATAAATATTTATGAATTGAGAATTAGAATATTGGCAAATAAATTTCCTTCTGGCCAAAATAATTTATAATGTGCTCCCGTTTGGATCATTGTTTTCTGAAGTCTTTGTTAAAAAAAAATGTAATGTAACGATTTGATATATATGATGATTGAAAAATGTATTCATGAAAAGGTAAAATTTTTTTGAGAAAAAATGACAATCCAAAAATGGTCAAATCACATTATAGTGAGGAGACTACTTGGCTTCTTGATTTTCATTTTCTTTTAA